CTCTAGGAGAAGACCAAAAATGGAACAACCAGGAAAGGGGGGTTGTGTGCCTAGACTAAGGTTCAGTTTCCTACCAAAACAGGCTGAGAGCTCAGAATTGAAGATCAGGTTGATTAAAAAATATTCTATTTAATATACAATTAAATTTGATATCTGAGAGGCAGCCAGGTACTCAAATTGAAGAGACTACTCTCCAATGGTCCTGACCAGTTGCTGGGTCATGCTTTAAGTAAAGGGAACCTTCTGTGGACCAGTATCTATTGTGGAAGCTGTCAATAGTTGAGTCATTTAAACCTCATAGTGATAATGAAAAGTAAATTCTAGGGAACAGCAGGTGGCATGGTAGTGAAGGCACTGGATTCCGGCATGGCCAACCATGGTTTGAGAACCAGACCTGGCATCTTGCTTTCTCACTCTCTCTTTTGGTCAAATTAAAAAACAATAATCATAAAAAATTATATAAATAATTCTTTTTTTAAAAAAAGTAAATTCTAACTTACCCTTTCTCACATATGAGGTAAGTGATACTCAGATAAGGGAAGCAATTTGCACAAGAACATTTATTAAGTAAATCACAAAGCTAAATTGTGAGCCCCAATCTCTTTAACACCTGCTATAGTTTGGATAAGGTTTGTCCCTACCAAAACTCACACTGAAATTTAATTGACAATGTTGGAAAGTGGAGTCTCTAAGAGGTGATTAGGTCACATTAATCTACTAAATGTATTAATGTCTTTCTCACCAGACTTAATGAATAATCTTGGGAATGGATTAGTTCTCACAAGAGTGGGTCCTTGTAATGGTGAGTTTGGCTCCCTGAGCTTTTTCTGGCTTCTCCATCTGCCATGTGATCACTTTCCACACACCCACTAACCCTTCTGCTTCTCTGCCATGTTATGATACAACACAAACCCCTCAACACAAGCCATTCAAATGGAGCCACCATATCTTGAACTTCCCAGACTCCAGAACTGTGAGCCAAAATAAACTTATTTCTCTATAAATTACCGAGTCTCAGGTATTATGTAATAGCATTAGAAAACAGATTAAGATGACACCAAATCTTGCTCTTATCAATGAATTTTTAAACTATGTTCCACAAAACCTTAAAGGTATTTAGGGGCTACAAATTTTCATTCTATTATAATTTTTTTGTAGTTTTAACTATTTTTAAACTAACTTTAAAAAGCAACATTTGCAAACTCTATAACATTGGCAGCCACCAATATACACTATTTTTTGTTGTCAGGTTCACTGGGTTTCATGCAGACCTCAGACTAGAGCTTCTCCTACCATCTCCAGACACGTTTGAACTTCTAAGAAATGTCTCATGATTAGGAAGACTGTTATTTTATTTGGGGGAAAGTGATTAATTCAGATGTGTGAATAATCACTCACATAAAATTATACAAACAGGGACAGAACCCAAGCAAAGTGTGCTGCACTCAAATGCCAAGCAATGCTCAAAACACTTTAACTTTGAACAAGCTGCCATCTTGGCAGAGGAGAACAACTGTAAGTACATGAGTGCTTCCTTACATTTGGAAAGTATTGCATTATTGACAGTTTTGTGTTTCTAGGATCAGTTTAACTGAATATTAAGTGTGCATGGCTACCTGTTAAAAAATTGGTTACCATATTGTATTCCCCCATATTTTCTGCAAGCTATTACTAAAACTAGAGGCTAGATTAGAGTCAAGGTGTGTGCTTTTTTTTTTTTTCTTTTTTGGCATGACAGCATCATTGGCAATGGTGTGTATGTTCTACTGCATGGTAGCTGGAGGCACATAATAATAATGTACTAATTTTAGCAATGCTACCATTGATATTTGGATTTAGGTGAGATCAGTCTACTCTCTACCATCAATTTCCCAATCAACATTCACCTAATGGTTTTAGCAGCTATTGATTATAGTTGCCTAGACCCATCATTTCATTAGGTATTTTTTTTTTTAATGATAACTTTCAGACCCAGACATATGCACTGGTAAGATGCTGTGCTCCACAAGCTGAGATTACATAGGAAGCCTGGATTCAATTCCTGGTCTAACCTAAAAGGCCAGGCATGGTGGCACACATCTGTAATACCAGCAACTTGGGAAGCTGAATTAGGAGAATCACAAGCTTGAAGCTGGCCTGAGCAATGTATAAAACCCTGTCTAAAAAAAAGCATGGTATGGTGTGTACCTGTGTTTCCAGCTGGCAGGCTGAGGTAGAAGAATCAAGATAGCAAGATTATATCTTAAAAAAAAAGTCAGGGCTGGCAGGTGCATGGTGTTTAAGGCACTGAACTCCCACATGGTCGACCGTGGTTCAAGGCACAGACCTGGCAGCTTGCTTTCTTGCTTTCTCTCTCTCTTTCTTTCTCATTAAATTGAAAAATGATAATAAATCAATTAAATTAAATAAGTCTTTTAAAAATAAATTTTAAAAAGGTAACTTTCTAATTATTTCTCATGAATTTTTATAGCTATGCTTCTCTTATAAACAAGAGCTTTTCTCTCACCAGCTACCAGCTATTAGGTTACCTTAAAATCAGTCAAATACAAAATGTGGAGCTGTCTGTAAGGCAAATAATCAAGTTTCTTCAACAAATAAAAGTGGTTTTTAAAAAAAAAAAGAACCCAGCCACAGTGGCACAGCAGTAGTATAATCCTCTGTAATGCTGGAAGTCATACAGAAGATCAGGGTTCCGTTCCTGGGTTGACATGTACACACTGGCACATACACCTATGATCCTAGCTGGCTTGGAAAGGATCTTCACATGAGACTCTGTTGAAAGTGTCTCTGTCTGTCTGTCTCTCTCTCTCTCTAAATCAATAAACTGTCTTAAAAAGGGGGGATTGTAGATTGAAGTAGAAGTAGACATAACAACCAAACCAACTGTTTTTTGGGTTTGTTTAAAGAAAAATATTTGAAATAATTCAAAAAATTGAAAATTAACTGGGTATTAGATATTAAGGATGGAATTATGATTACTTTTTTGGTATGATAATAATACTTCTCATTAGATAAGTGTTGAAATACCTACTAGTGTAATGATACCCTATTTTGGCCCCTAACCATAAAAGGAAGAGTTTAGATAAATCATGAACAACAGAAAGTTCAAAGTTATTGAAGCTAGGTTGATGAATGCATAGGAGTATGTTCTATTCATTTTACCTTTATGTATTATTTTCCATAATAAAATGTTTTCCTGGTTCCAGAAGGTATGTGTGTTCAGCAGAGAGAAGAAGAAAAAGACAGAGAAAGCACTCTCCAAAGTGGTCTGGTCATGCCACAGCCCTCCATTTCTCCATCTTGTAGGGGTTTGGGGCATAAATGCACACGTGGCTGGTATGTTTCTCAAGCCACTGGGCCAGGAATTCAATTTGAACAAAGGTCAGGCATGTGTGAGCCCATTCCCTTAACCACTAGACTAAAGGACCATCCCCATAATAAAATACTTAATGAAATATATTCTTTGACCAGTTTAGCAACTGGTGAAAAACTAAATGGCTATCACTTACAATATTTATCTGTTTATGAATAAAGATCTCCTATTACTCAATAGAGTACATAAACTTAAACTGAAGTTTGAAAGACAGGTTCCAGTTTATTTCAAACACCAGTGTGTTTGGAAGACTATCATAATGTTTCTAGAACTGAGAATGATAGTCTTAAAACCTGTTGTTTTTTGTTCGTTTGTTTTTTTGATGAGTAATCAACCAACATGGGAATGAGGTCAGCTGGACCATCCCTATCATTTTATCTTACATAGCATATCTTATCCCAATAGTATTAAAAAGTGGTTCAGTACCACATTATTTCTTCATTACCCAATATGGAAACACAGATTCCTCTGGAGCTAAGAATTTCCTCCACATAGATGGGAATTCTTTCAATGGCCCAAGATTCTTATTGAGATTTCCATTATCCAAAGTAGAGGTCGGAAACCTATAGTTTCAGGCTGGCCCACCACACAGTCATCCCTACTCATCATTTAGGCTGCTTTCCCAAGTACAAGAGCAGCATAGGGGTGTTGTGACAGAAACCACATGGTCGACAAAGAATAAAATGTATACCACCCAGCCTTTTACCAAAAAAAAATTGCCAATCCCTGGACTAAATCTAAATTCCAGGGTTTGGATTTTGGAAGGCTATATTACAGAAAAATGTGTGCTGACCCCTGGTCTACATAAATTCCAGGGTTTGGAGTAATATACTTCCACTATACAACTTGGATATCAGTACATCATTAATATTTTCTGGTTTGACTATGGACAGAATTGAGGGAAAAATCAGTGGTTCAATAACATTTTTACTATTAGTGAAAGTAACTATGGGAACAAAAAGAGAGAGCAGGATCTCAGGATTTGAGAAACATTATTTGAATTCTTGCAAAGCTCTTTTATTGATGAATCTTTCATTGCTAGTAGTTTACTGACAGCCTCCTGATTCCCAGTATAATCTATCTCAGGCATGTCCAGATGACCCACTCTTTTATGAAAGAGATGCTTACTCTCTCAACAGAAGATGCAATGAAACACTTAGAACAGATCAATTTTTGCTTTATTTTTTGAAAGGAAAGAGGAAAAATTCAGACTGAACTTGACCATGAGAATTTAGGCATGTACACAAGACAATGCTACTGAACAGGGAATAAGGAGTCATGCCATGTGTTCTCTCTGTCAGGGGAACGAGGAGGCAAAGGAAAGAGCAGAGTTCAGAAAGTCTTTGCTAATCAGAAGAGGTCCACAGTCCCTTCCCTACTGGAATTTAAGGACCTAACATGTACTATGAGTAGGAATTTGAGGGCCAAATCACTTGAAACTCATTCACTGGATTCCCTAAAAGTTGGGGGGGGGGGAACCTGTCTGGGAGGAGGGGAATATTCTAGATCCTACTGTTCAACAAAATTTTTACTTTTTCATTTCAGCATGAGTCATTTTCCCTAGGAAGGCACACTAACAGGCTAATCTTGGACTGAGCAAAGTGGATGAATGAGAAACTCACTATACCTTCAAGATATGTTCATTGGATGCCTTGTCGTCAGGGGAAACATACAAACGGATGAACACAGAATTGCTGTATTGACCACGAAACGTTGCAAGAGTCTGTAAAAGGCTGAATTTTCTCTCTGACCAAACACCTTCAGGTCCGATATTGGATTCAAGCACGGGCCAGCGGAAAGGGGAATGCCGCAGGATGTGTAGCAGGGGTTTGGCATCTGCTTTTTCAATTGCTTCTGAAAGGGAGCAGATATGAAGGGAGAGTTAGATCACAAACTAGACCACCACACTAGAATGCAAGTGCATCTCAAGAGAAAAATGTTCATAAGGCCCCAAGTTAACATTTCAACGATTAAGGAGAGGGTATGAGAAGTGGGGTAGAATAAGCATAACCATGGAGACAGAACTACCCCTGCCTGTGACTGTCTAAACTCAGTGTTCTTGCCAGACACCTGACTCAGTAACCTGCTGAATATTCCCTACATTGAGAGACAGGCACAATACATTGACCCCAGCCAATGAATGATGTCATGCTAATAATACTTGGTGACAGTAAGGAATAACCCTAGCTAAAGGAAATGAATCACTAAAGCTAATCACTCTCTGATAAAGGTGAATTAATGTTTCAGACTCTCACTTTTACCCCCTTCTTCCAACTCATCATATGATATACCCCAAATCCTAGACCAGTTCATGGAATTTTCTAGAGGTACTAATGTCTTTCCACAACGACCTTGAGAAAATGGTGCAAGTAAAATGACAAGTCTCTCTTCCAACTCCGATCAGACCCCAGATATTGACACAGCCTAAGGTACCTGACAAAGATGCCTGTTAGGCTGACAAAAGAGCCAGGAATTCCTTGGAATCTGGATTTCTATAGGCTCCAGTAGGTCCTATGGAGCATATCAACCCTCCCAAGGGCACAGTCTCCCAGTCTCTTTCTCAGACCAGATCTGGCCTGGCCTCTGGATTCTGGTTTCTGCACCAGGCACAATAGGGTTTGCCTTGCTGACCTTGTCTGAGTTTCTCATGGAGTAACTGATACCCAAAGAATGCAAGCCATAGAAATGAGATTACTTCATCCACCAAGTCAGCAACAAAACATTAAGATAGGACAAATCAAAATTCTGTTTTTGAAAATCGTTCACTTCCTTAAGCACCACCTTTAAACATGAATAGAGTGCTTAGTAGTTCTCTTTTTTCCTACACAACATCTTTAAACAGTAATAGAACTCTAGAGCATAAGGGTGGTCAATATTTTCTTTATTTTCTATATTACTCACTCTCATTCATGCAGGATGAATAAAGGATTTTGGCTTTCTGTATTGCTTCGGTGTCCCGCCTTCTACTGATTGATTTCTCCAAAAGTGCTAGGAAGGTTAAGAAAGGATTCATTAGTGTCCACCCACACATGGTGCCAAGTTGGAAGTGGGGAGCATTTGATAATCATAGTTCCAGCCTCCAGAAAATTAAATGTGAAGACAGACAACCCTGGAAAAGACAGATTTATTAAAGACATGCAGATGGCAGAACCAATTCCAAGTTGCTGAGGTTCAGATAAAAACAATTTAATGTTCTCTTACACAGGGCTCTCCTAACTCAGAAGAAATCAAAAGTTCAATTTCCAACTGAGACTGGACTTTCTACAGGGGTTAATTTCTTCTGCCACCTACACAAAAGGAAACAGAATTCGTTTATTCAAGAACCAAAAATAACTGATTTCTGTCCCTTGTTTCTACACCAAGTAATATTTTCAACAAAGGCAATTTCATCAGGGTCGGGTTTCTTAAGATTTCTTCACAGCCCAGTCTCTCAGGGAGGTCACCTGGAAGAAATTTCCCATTAGATGTTGTATTCAATGTTGCATAAACATGCTGTGGACAAGGGAGAAGTTGTTTAGACAGAAAATGGAGAGGTGATACTGGCAAGTCTACCCATACTGCCTGAAAACTTGCCCATTTCCACACGTTGTCTTGGCCATTTAATGAGGTCATGTGTATAAAATGGTTGCCAATATAGAAACAGACCCACCTGGAAAATGATTTTTTATTTATAAAATCACTAATACTATTGTTCAAAGGTGGAAAATCACACTAGTTACTATGCCATTAAATAAGGAAAGAGGAAAGCCAGGACTCAATGAAAATGATCCTCCCTAAAAAAAGAGTACGTTGGGCCAGTCTTGGTGGTGCAGGCAGTAGCATACCAAACTGCAGTACTGGAAGCCACATGGCTGACGACATATGCTGATCCTCAGTTGACCTAGAACATGCTAATCACTGCAGATCCTGATGAGCTGGAAGGCTGAGGGAGTGAGATCACAGTGTGACAAGATCCTGTCCAGGCTACCCTCCTTCCCTCCCCCCCACCCCACCTACCATGTGTGCACATGCTCTCTTGTGAATTAAAAAAAAATGTTTTAAAGAATACCTTGAGGGACCAGCAGTTAGCATAATGGCTATGTTGCTGAACTCCCATGTAGTCAACCACAGTTTGAGTCCCGGATCCGGTGGCTTAAACTCACGCCAGGTGCATGTGCGTGCGTGCCCAAGATCCCGAGAAGAGAATGGGAGAGAAGGGATTGTGAGGCGTGGTCATCCCCCATGGGGGCTGATTTCTCACTTTCTGTCTCTCTGTCTCTCTCTTTCTGGCGAGCACACGCGTCCTATAGCAAAAACCTCTTAAAAAAAATACTTTAATATACCTGAAAGGATAATTTACCACAATACAGCCAGGATGAAGAAACCTCGTGGTGACTGTGACACTATGGCACTGCCCACATCAAACTACGTCAACCTGCTGTTGTCAAGGCATTTGGGGAAACAACCTAGCACCCTCCAACCTATATTTTCCACAGTACTCTGAGTAGGCTCAAGACACAATGTACAGTGTTAATCAAATTAATAATTACATATTCCCTAAAGAAGAATTACTTGTAAAATAGAAGTTCTGCCTTTCAAAAGAAAAAAATGCAACCCAGAGCTTCTGCCCAGTTTATTTTTCTAAGCACCTGTATGTAAAGCAAGTCCATATAACTAGATAGATTCTAATAAAATAAATTAAGTTAGGCTAGATGTGGGAGTTTTCAATTATTTTAGTTTGTTCGGTGTTCCTTTCTTGTGTATCATCCTAGCAATAAAAGCAAAATAAGTAGCCCCCAGGATAAAGGAAAGAGGTTTTTTTTAATAAACGAAAAGCTTTAAACCCATATCTACATATATTTCCATTTAAATCAGATCATGTGCCTTTCCGCCATAATGCCCACACAGTCATTGCAGTCATTAGACTATTGGGGAGGCACATTTGGAACTAAATAATCCAAATTTCATCTAGGGGCGTGATGATGTTCTGATGTTATAAACACTCCACAGGCGGCAAACATGAATGCCCTGAGGGCCAAAAACAAGCCATGGGAGCAAAAAAGAACTAAAAGTATTAAATATTTACCTGCGTGAGTTCCCAAGCCACACTGTGGATCACGAGAAGGGAAAAAGAGGACATACGCATGCTCAGTAGGGCAACTCCCAAGCCCTAGCCTTGTACAAATATTAATAATTAGTATATGTCAAAATTCTGGCTTCTGAACCAGAATTTGGCTTTTAAAACAGCCCTATAGCAAAAACCTCTCAAAAAAAAAAAAAAAAAAAAAAATATCATAGGTTCTTGTCATCCCTCTTTTCTCCTCTTGTCCTTTCCTACTCTCTGTACTCACGTAGAAAGAGAAATTTGATATGCAGACGGTGATGTTGCCAACATCCATTTTATTTACCGCTGCATGTAAATTACTGGTAAGAGGAATTAAAGCCAGTCAATCATTAAAGAGCAGAAAACAAAGTCTGCCTATCACAGGCAATTAGATTATTAAAATGTTCCTAAAGCATTAAGGAAGATTCATGGGTCATCCAGACAGAGGCATTCCCATCATAACCTGTGTTGTTCCTTAGAGGATTTCTCCATCAGCCCCTGCCCCTGCCCTGACACTCCAACCCAGTATGCCTTACCATGCTGCAATAGAAAAGGAAAACTCCACTTGGTAAGAACTGATAGGGCAGCAAACCTAAGACTCTAAAATTGGTTTGAGAAGTTCCTTCAATTATCGAATTTGAGCATTACATACATATATAAAGTATTTTTTCCTCATTATGCTCAACCAAGTAAAACTGGTTAAAGAAAAAAATAACAACACAATAGACATGTCAAACGACTGGGCTTTCAAATCATGCAGACGTGGGCTCTCGTCACAGCTTGCTGCTACTTCCTAGCTGGAATGTGAGCAAGTTACTTAATCTCTCTAAGCCTCAGATTCTTCATCTGTAAATTCGGATAATAATAGTACATACCTCCCAGGGTTATGGTGAGGATTTAAAATTTTTAATGTACCAAAAGCCCTATCTCAGCGCCTGGGCACATGATAAGGGGGATCAATAAGTGGCAGCTTAAGCAGGATTACAGGCCCTGCTACTCATACGCAAAACTGTAAAGTCATCAAGTTGTTTCTAGTGCTTCCTCCACAATTCCTCGTGTTTCCCTCCTTGCTTCTCAAGATACTGGTGTCCAGAGATCTTATGTTAACCCCATGTTCTCTGTTCTTCTATGCTGGGGAAAAAAAAGTACTTAGTTAGCATTCTACTTCCTTTACCCTCAGAAGCCAAGAAAGGACTCTCTCTCTCTCATTCAATTCACTTCTTCTACATCTATCCAGGGCTCTAGAATATGAAAAGGAAATTCGAAAAGAGGGATGAGACACCCGAGGACTCTACAGTACCCTGGTTAGTCTAAAGTTTATGACGGTCGTGTGCAGTACAAGCTAGTCATTTGAAGTTTCCACAGTATGTGAGACCTGTCCAACTAGTAGTAGTTTCAAAATGTGCACAGGTGCAAAGTTTTATACCCATGATCAAAAGCCTACCAAGGAGCTGGTAGGTGATGTGGTGGTTGAGGCTCCTGGATCCAACATGGCTGACTGTGCAGGTCAAGTCCCTGCCCTGGCAGCTTGGCAGTCCCTTCTCCTCCATTCTCCTCTTGGGATTTTGGGCACTCACGCACACACAACCAGTGTGAGTTTTAAGCCAGCCGCTGGGTCCTGGACTCAAACAGCGGTTGACTATGTGGGAGTCCAGTGACATAACCATGACACCATCTGCTGCTTCTTTTATTGTATAAAACTTGTTTTCTCACTTTCTCTCAGTCTCTGCCTCTCTCTGGTGAGCACGCATACCCTAGAGCAAATATTTTTCTTAGAGATTTTTGCTACAGGGCACATGTGCTCACCGGATAGACAGAGAGAGACAGAGAGAAAGAAAGGGAGAAATCAACCCCCAAGGGGGATGGTTACGCTACAATCCCTTCTCTTCTCAGGATTTTAGCCACATGTGCACACTTATCCGGTGTGAGTTTTAAGCTGCCAGGTTTGGAACTCAAACTGCAACCAACCATGTGGGAGTCTAGCACCTTAACCACTACAGCATTTGCTGGCCTTATCTTTTTTATTTTTTTTCTAAGAATTATAAATTTTAGGGACCAGTTGATGGCATAATGGTTCCTTAGGTGGCCTCCCATGCAGTCAACCACAGTTTGAGTCCCAGACCTGGTGGCTTGAACTCACGTCAGGTGCATGTGTGTGCATGCCCAAGATCCCAAGAGGAGAATGGAGGAGAAGGGAATGCAGTGTGCCCAACCCCCTGGGGGTGATTTCTCACTTTCTATCTCTCTGTCTCTCTCTATATATATATCTTTCTGGCAAGCACATGCGCCCTATAGCAAAAACTTCTCTTAAAAAAAACTCATTTATTTTATTTTATTGAGTTGTTGGAAAAGTCATGTGCATTTTTGCATAGAAAAATTCATCATGGCTTTTCATACTACCTAATTTTATTATCATTATTTTTTCACACATTTACTCACCAGAGAGAGTGAGAAAGTGAGAAAGCAAGCTGCCAGGTCCAGGATTCAAACTGCAGTTGGCCATGTGGGAGTCCAGCTCCCCAGTCACCATACCACCTGCCAGCCCCTCTACTTATTTATTCCTATGTGCCTATTCTAAACAGAATCCTCTGGCTATCTGCTAAGAGATGGATGAATGCTAGAGATCTGTGCTTAGTTTGCTTAACACAAATAAAAATTGCATTCTACAGCCTTCACATCACTGTCACCACCATAAGTCCTCAATTTCATATGAGATTATGCAACATTTCTCCTTCAGAAATCAGAGGGAGTACCCCCTCAATTCTAGTGAGAGAAAGAACATAAAAATTCAAAACTCTAGAAAACCAAATCTATATTTTAAACTTCCATACCAATATAATGAACAGAATGTTCTATAGATCTATACATTTTTTAAACCTATCATATCAAGGCCTGGTTTCTCCTT